AAGAGTTTATGGGGGGAGGAAAGAAAGAACAGGCAGAGGCTACTGGAGAGAGCTTTACCAACGTGGCTGCCACCCCCACCATCTCCTAGGACCCTGGACCTTTTTCATCCTAACCCTGAGGGATTTCCTCATGAGACTGGGCCAGAGAGAGGGACCCAGATGACATCACCTCCTACCAGCTCCAGCTGAATTGCAAACACCACCTGAGATGAAAGGTGATCGGACTTTAACACAGCAGCAGCAAGAACAGCTCCAGCTCATCTCAACAATCACCTTCTCTTTTCCTCCAAAGGACAGATATTACCATCTTTGATACCATCTAAGAGACTGTCAAATAAGGGTGTTTTTTTCCCTTCTAAAACTCTTTCCAGATAAAGAAAAAGGGAAAAAACAATACTGTCAAAATGAAAGCTTTACTTAATGCCTAAATTATTTTTCCTTCTTTTCTGTGCCTTCAATAAAAGGCTAAAAGGAATTTTAATGTATTTTTTGCCATTGTACAAAGCAGGCTAAGGTGTCTATGCCAAACCCTGGACCTTGTTTAACATTGGATGGTTGACAGAGGTATGTTACCTCCTTTGGCCCATTTATTTTATCTACATTAATACAACAGGCCCCAACTGAGTTTTGGACACCATTGTGCTAGGCACTGCACAAATTTGTAGTATTAGACTGTCTCTGACTTGGAGAGCTTACAATGGATATAGACAAGGCAGATGAAAAGTGGGAGGGGAAACAAAATGACTTGCATAAGATCATTGACAGACCCAGGACTAGAACCTGGACCTCTTGATGCTTAGACCCAGTCAGCATTTATTAGACCAATTCCTCCAGCTGACCCTAAGTCTAGTGGTACAGCTAGCATATTTCACAACCTTAACTCTGCTTCCCCTCAAGCTACTTTTCTCTACACATATGTTTCCCAAACTGCCCTGCTCCCAACACCACCCATTTCAGGTGTTTGGTATAGTGTTGTTTTGTTTTGAGAGGCGTTCGGTTAGGTAAAGGGAGTGATGGGATTCTGATATCTCCAGAAGTAAGTTGGGATTTTATGAAGAGAAACCAAAAAAAAAAAAAAACAACCAGAAAATTCAAGGGCATAGAAACAAACAGTGTATGAAATGACACGTGGAGAGGCCTTCTACTTTTGGAGAAAAACAGGATTGTATATCTTATTTTAAGCCCATTTAATAACACAACACTAACTATGTAACCTGTATCAGGCACTTCCATAATATCAGAAATGATACAGAAAATTGTTTATTTGTTGGACTCTACATAGAACTGATGAGGCATCAGGAATGCCGTAGAGGAGCCTATGAACTTCCTTCTCTGGGTGATGCATCATTAACTGGTTATTACATGAAATAGAAAATATATTTGAGAGGGGAAAAAAGATGAATCACCCAAAGAAGGGAGGAAGAAGGAAAGAGTTAAAACTGATAATGTAGAGGTAAATAAAGCCAAAATAACCAACAGATGTGGTTAATTTAAAAAGAAATCCATTGAAAAAATGTCCACACGTCTCCTCACTCTAAGCCCCAATGCAAGGATGTATCTGGGAACAGAAGCCCTTTGTCTCCATCTAATGGTGAGATCAGTGATTGCGCTCCAGCGCCCGCTTTCCCCTGGGAAAGCCTCAACCCCTGGGCACATTCCAGCACTTCCTCACCTGGCTGCTGCCCCGCAAACCTGCTTTGTGCATATTGACAACTGCTGGATAATGCCAACATTTAGCTGGCAACTGAGGGAGCTGCTAATAAGCGGGTTCTATGGTACATTGAAATTAATGGGAGTTAGGCACCTCTATACCTTCAAAAATCTGGCCCGTAGGAACTTAGATGTCCTGATAAATACTAGCAGACTGAAAACCGAAATATTTGTGAATAGGCTGGGATTATCAAAGCTGTCGGAGTTAAGTGCCTGAATCTCATTGAAATTTAGTTGGGTACCTAACTCCCTTAGGCTCCTTTGCAAATCCCAGCCTCAATGATTTGGATCAAAGCTCCTTCCTCCTGACCACACACCTTCCATTAGGGAAGGGGGGCTGTATGGTGGGGACTGATTAATGGAGGTGGTGGCAGAGGGATCTTCCCTCCTCCCCTCCCCCCCCCAGTGCTCGACCCTCTGGGAGATGTGATCTGAGCAGCTGTGTCTTTTACCACCCACCAGGAGTTGTTTTTCCTGGCTCCACTCAACAAGCAGCTCCGGCTACACTGCTCCCTGTCTCTTCCTCCAAGCAGAGCAGTGGCCAGGCAAGCAGGCAGCCAGGAGAGGTTGAGGAGAGGGTCTGAAGTGGATCCACAGAGGAGCAGCCCCCAGCAGAGGCTCCCTGTGGGTGTGAATCTTTGGAAACTTGTTAGCACCACAAGCGAAGGCTCCCGGGGTGGAATCCTGGCCCTGTTGAACTCAGTGGGAGTTTTGTAATTGACATCAACTGGGCCGCGAATTAGGCCTCTAGGGCCACTGGAAGATGGGGAGGAGTCGACCCTGCCCAGCTTAAATCAGTCCGTAAGGAGAGCTCACCCAATCTTGTCTATGCAGCACCGCGGGGGAATACCACTCCCCTAGCCTGACCCAACTCCAGGTCTCTGTTTGGTTTTTCTCCAAAGGATATTTTCCTCCCTCCTTATTATTTTTTTTTTTGCCCTGATCAATTATTTGGATCAAACATCGGGGAACAAACAGCTATTTCGGGGTATCATCTGTCTTCACCTCCTATTCTCAAGTATGTAGCATTTGTTTGCAATACATCCATTAGTGAGTTTCTTTTTTTCTTTCTCACCATATTGCTTTTTTTGCTCATTCACCATTTCAAAATGTATTTTTCTCTTTCTTTTGGTTTTATGCTTTCTTTCTTTTCCCCTTTCTTCCTTTCACAATTTCTTTCTTGTTTTCTTGCTTTTGTGCTTTTGCTCTTTCCTCTGCACAACTTTCAGACAATTCAATGGGAAACTCACAAAAAGAACCTTGTGATTCAATTAGGTCGGGCAAGAGAAATAACATGCTCAAATTATTATTTCTTTCATCCTTTCATTAATTTCATTTTTTTAAAATGATTTCACTAACAATTTAAATCATTGCCTTTTTTGTTCTGATTTGGGACAGGAAACATTTCAAAATCTCAAATTTGTTCACAGGATGGAAAATCTATTTTCTGACCATCTCTCCCCAAAGCACCCATCACCTTTAAAAATATTGACCATGAATGTCTGATCCTTGTTTGAATCATACAGGGTTGTTGGCCTCAGTGGGTATATTTACACTGCAATGAAAGAGCTGTGGCTGGCCTGGGTCAGGTCTTATGAGGCTTGGGCTGGGGGCACTATACAATTGAAGTGTAGATGTTTGGGCTCAGGCTGGAGCCTGGGGTCTGAGATCTCAGAGCCCAGTTCTGCAGCCTGAGTCCTGCAAGCTTACCTCATGATTTTTTTAATTGTAGTGTTGACATTCTCAGTGATATCTGATAGATTCATAGTGTTAAATCCTGGCTCTGTTCAAGACACAGGAAGTTCTGCAGTTGGCTTCAATGGGACCAAAATATCATCCAGAGATTTTGAACCATTATGGTCACTTAGTCTAACCTGCAGCCAGCCAAAAACAATAGATTTGAGTGGGAAGGAACAACCTGTGCTTATCAATGGGGTGTTAGCTCCAAGTCCTGTTGTTTGGGGTCTGTGCCCCACCACGAGTGTCTGTATGTGGCAAAAAGGGGAAAATGGCCTAGCCCACTCCAGCTGCTGGGGTAGGTATTCAGGAGACACCTTAGCGGCCATCTTCCCTTCTCCACGAAGGGGGCTAGAAGTGGGACCCTGCTACTTTCTTTGGGAGCCAGGAGATGTAGGTTTCATTCCCACCTGCAACACTGATCAGCTCTATGACCTTGTTCAAGTTGTTTTTTTCCTTCTGACCTATATAGATGTGGGGATTTTAGGGGAAGGGACAGTCTCTTACTACATCTCTGTGCAGGACCAGAACAACAGGTTCCTCATTTTTGTTAGTGGCCTCTAAGTGCCACTGAATTACAATAATAATAATAAATAATAATCCTGGTTGAGATTTTCCAAGATGCCTAGGGAACTTAGATGCTAAGATCAGTCATTTAAATTGGTATTGGGTATCCAAACATCCTAGTTGGCTTTGAAGAACTCAGAAGATCCACGTCCAAAACAGGAATTATTTTTAGAGCTGGTCAAAAAATGCTCAAACATAATGAATGTTATGTTAATTTCCTGGCTTTGACATGGAGCCATTTTTCATTTGTCTCTGAAAATACTTGTGTTATATTTTAATCAACATGGTTCTCGACATTTGTCTTAATTTTTATTTTCATTTCCCCAAAAGCCAGTTTTCATTTAGTAAAAAAAAAATTGAGAATCATCTCAATTAAAAGTAATCTTGTGGAGAAATGTCATGAACAAAGGAAACATGCTGACAATTATTCATGAACATTTTCAGTATAGGAAAAAAAGGCCAATTGCTTTAACTTGGGCTAGATTTTCAAAGGTGTTTTCACACCCTAAAGATAAAAATAAGTGCTCACTGGGATTTTTAAAAGCAACTATGTGTCTAGCTCCAATTGATTTCCATGGGAGTTAGGCACCTAGGCCCAGATTTTTAAAAACATTCAAAATTAATAGGTGCTGTCACATAGATGATTTTGAAAATCCCACTAGGTACCTATCTACATCTTTAAGTATCCAAATATCTTTAAAAATATGACCCCAGGTGCTTAACTTAGTCACTTTGATGCAAATGTGTGTGCCACTACATGCCAATCTATATCTTTAGGTGCTGAAATACCTTTGTAAACCTGGCCCATTATTTTTTTATTAATAATATTAGTATTATTTAATTCTGACCAGCTCTAATTATTTGCATGGCTTTTCGAGTCCCAGTCCCTGTGACAAAGCCATCAATACTGTGTTGACATGCAGTCACATTTCTAACACCTGTGTCTCTCCTCCAGATTGAATAACAACAGGGCCAGGACCTCCAGCATGCACTGGGCCAACCAAAGTCATGTGACCGAGTTCATTCTGGTGGGTTTCCCTGGCATCCTGGAGCTGCAGCTCCTGCTCTTCTTCATGTTCCTTCTGGCCTATGCACTGACAGTGATAGAGAATACGGTGATCATCATGCTAATCTGGGCCAACGTCCCACTCCACAAGCCCAAGTACCTCTTCCTGGGGAATCTCTCTTTCCTGGAGATATGGTACGTCTCAGTCACGGTGCCCAAGATGCTATTGAGCTTTGTAACAAAAAGGAAAAGCATCTCCTTTATTGGGTGTATGGCCCAGCTCTACTTCTTCCTGGCCTTGGCTTGCACTGAGTGTGTCCTCCTGGCCGTCATGGCCTACGACCGCTACGTGGCCATCTGCAACCCGCTGCGCTACTCAGCCATCATGAGCCAGACTCTCTGCATCCGCTTGGTGGCTGGGTC